AGATGCAACCCATTGCGATTAAGTCAAGGCATGTTGAACGGTTTAAAGATTGAGATCTGATATTTGGAATGGTGGCTTGGATAAATAATGACATATCACTTTGCAATGATGTAATACACTTAAAAAGCCATCAGTCCTCATTCACATATGCATTCTTCAAATCCCAATTCACATATGCAGTCTTCAAATCCCAATTCAATGCAGTTTGGTTGAGGTTAGGTAAATGTCGTGAAGGAGTTAGGCCAATATTACACCGATGTTTGTTTCATTACATCAAAAAAAACTTTACACTCCATATGCACATTCTATGTATGGGAATGGCATGTGTCTAACTTCAAAAACGCATCTGCCTATCCATTTAGATTGCCCACGTGCAATAGATTTACAGATCCAGTTACTTTTCTCCTCTCCTCTCAGCATCTCCATTTCAGATTCTTCATTTTTCTATGCTCTGCATCCAGCTCCATATACATTTCGTACAATATGAGAATAAACATAGCGTAATATCACACTAATCGAAATGAAAGCATGCATCCGCTATAATATTTGCTACTATTTTGGTTCTAATTGTTATTGTCCAATAACTTAAATCTAAATTTCTGTACACAAATACACTAAGATTGAGAAAGACGAAGAAGAATTCAGGAGCAAAGGTAGAATTCGAAAAGGACACGTGGGTCTCTATTGTGTATTTACATGACTTTGAAATTGGACATTCCCAAAACCTATTTAATCATCATGTGCCTAAACCAAGTTCAACCAATATCATGGCTTGTAAGCATCTCCCCGTGCAATTTCTGCAGCCAACTTCAACCGAAAAAATGGCATGTTCTGCGAGGTGCAAGTAGCTAAGGGAATCTCAGCACTCAACAGCTCAATGTACTTCAACACGAACATACCACAATCGCCTCTGAAGCAAAACAAGAACTCGATCAATTCAACTAATGACATTCTCACGTAATTGACAAATTAAAGTAATAAAATTAAATAAAAAATTATGCTCACTGATTAGCCTGTTGTGGAACATCCACACGATGTATTGGCCATGGACACCACCAATCTCGGGTGCACTCGTTCGCGTAAACACCTTCTTCATAAAAGTCGAGGGTGTGCAGAAGATTTGGAATCGTAATTGACAGGGGGCCGAGTTCTTCCTTTAAGCTCTGATCTGGAATGAGTGAAACCATTGAATCGTAGACTTTGATTTCACACTGAATCAGATCAATCTCTAGAGCCACCCAATGCTTATATTTTTGCAACATACAAGGTACATACACCTTATACGTGTTCTGCCAATCCAATCCACAAGCCGGAACCTTGCCATTTACAACGTTCACTAAACTGGTTCTAATTTTCCACCCAACTTGCTCTTTTTTCCTTTTATTATCCGCAAAGCAAGTATGGATGTGATTCTGTGAAATAGAAAACAATCAATGGTTAAACAACTCCACAAAGCAAGTATGGATAATTTGTAATTATTAACTGCACTTGGTCAAGGCCTATGCCATACTGATGTAGTACAGCCCTGGGTGTGTTGGTTTATTTTAAACACTTAGAAAGACAGAACAGATAAGAAAAGCTGAAAGGAAGAAAAGGTAGAAGGCAAGCAGAAATCAGAGAGTTTAAAGGAATGTTTAATCAATATTCAAATCTGAATTGTAAATAACTACATAGGGGTATTTATAGCAAACTACAACCTAGAGACAATAGAATTAAAATCCCCAGGTAAAACAGAAATCTTATTCCTAATAAAATAGGAAACTTAGAAATCCTAATAGGATTTGGAAAACTAACTTAGAAATCCTACTAGGATTTGGAAAACTAAAGAATATAGGAAACTAACAAATCAATTAGGAAACTAAACAATTTAGGTCCTATGCATCCTACATCACATACCGTAAAAAATACATCGGTCGTTGTCCAGTCCGATATTTCTACTTCCTCCAACTGTTGTTGTCGCTTCCGGATGAGATACAGGCCCAAATCAATGTGCTGCACATGTTTTCCTTGTCAATCTCATAATCTATGTACATTCAAACAAATGCATAATCAATTAAACTTACATCTCCTTTCAGCCAACCGTCAGCTTTGACGAGGGAAGCGAATAATTCAATCTCAACTTCCACGTTACCAAATTGCATCACCAAACTATGAATAAAGTTTTAGAACACAACAATTAAAAAATATATACACTCATGCCTTTTATCTCAAAAAACAAAGGACTTACTTTGGGTTATGGCGCCATTCC